ACACATACACCCCTGACACAGACCTTGCACACACACACACACCCCTGACACAGACCCTGCACACACACACCCCTGACACAGACCCTGCACACACACACACCCCTGACACAGACCCTGCACACAACTGACACAAACCCTGCACACACACACATAGTACACAAAGATATGGCTGCCTGGTTACACCCAGGGTCCTGCAGGCTGACTAGTGTCTGAGTTGGGGACTGGTTGTGAACTCCCAGCTTCCCTCCTTTACCCCAAGTGAGGTGCCAGAGACGCGTGGTGGTCTTGCAGGAACTGTGGTGCTGCTAGACTGATTGTGGCTGGGGTGGGAGGCCTGGCGGCCCCCGGGCCTAGTGTCCCTGGATGAAGGACATGCAGTAGACCTGTATACAGGAGACTCAAGATGGGTTTGCTGGAGTGTGGGCTGCTGCACCCCCAGTCAGAGTCAGACTCTTCAAGGGGCTTCAAGCAGCGGCTCCTGCCCACTCCGTACCCTGGGACTATGAGGTGTCCTTGCCCTCCTGGAGCCCACCTGAACACTCTCATTATCTGCCCATATGCTAAAATAATACTGCAGTATGTGAACACTGCCTGAGCTGCAACTAGCTCTGATCCCCGGTGGAGGGATTTGGGTACGTGGCACCAAGATCTACCCACTAGTACCCCATGTGGCTCAAGACCCTACTGGGCTCCCTGCTATCCTCGTTCTGAGTAGTCCACGTCCCATGCCATCCTGCATGGTGTGGGGCTCAGCTGTCCCTGTCCAGCGGGGCTCCCAGGCACAGGGGAGGGGAGGGACAATGGACAGAGTACCACCACTGGACTCAAGGAGCCATTTGAGTCGGCATGCACAGGGCAGCACACACGTGGACACGGAAGCTGGCACTGCACTGAACTGGAACTTAGACAAGGGAGAGAGCTGGGAGGGGAGGGGTTGCTGCTCTCTGTGCAGGTCTTCGGGCTCCTGACCACCCCCAGAGGCCCCGCTGCTGGGCCCGTCCCTCCCCTGTTCAGGGTGGGTGAGGGGGAGCAGGGGCCACCTCATGGGAGTCCTGATCGTGACAGGGAGGGTTGGAGGGTGGCCAGCAAAGGGGATGGACGCTGGGCTGAGGTCTCTTTTCACGTGGGTCTCCAACTGCCTAAACAAGGGTGAGACTACCAGTAGCCCAGCAGGTTCCAGCCCTGCCGCCAGCTGAGAGCCAAGAAAGGTGGAAGGGACCTCCAGGTCACCTTGCTGACCAAAGGGCGTCTGAAGATACACAGTCTGCACCCCTGAGGCTGACCCAGGCCTGTCCAGCTGGGTAACACCAGCCCTGCTCCCCATCTTCCTGAGCATGGGGCCCATGGGCTGGTGCTGTCCGCGGTGCTGAGCTTGCATGGAGTAGCGGTGGTGACCAGACGGCATGAAGACAGACAACAGCCTAGTGCTACCAGCACCTGGATACAGAAGTTCCGCCTGCAGCAGTCAGGATGGGGGGATGTGGTAGGGCAGGATCTGTTTCCTTTCCAGGGTCTTGGCCCCCTGTTGCCCATGGCAACAGCACGTCAGCTACTTTGGTGCCCCCCCAAGGGTCCAGGATCCCCAGTCACCAGGGGGCGCAGAGGTCCTAACCATTCTCGAGTGTGTGTGTAGGGGAGGTGTTCAGAGGGTCAGGTAGGCCCTGTGCGGTAGGAGACACTGGGAGCCAGGGGACCTGGACCAAGGTGTACCACACAGGCCACCAACAAGCCAATCATGCTCTAGGAGCTAAGGGACCCGTCCCGAATGTCCGGCACAGGACCCCGACAAGTTGCCAAATATGTAATCTAGTGACATGAAGGTGCATACACACACACTCAGAGTAGTGTGACCATACACCAGGGCTGTCCTGAGCGCGCACACACACACACACACACACACTGCAGTGTGAGCTCTCACACCAGGGCTGTCCTGAGCGCACACACACACACACTGCAGTGTGAGCTCTCACACCAGGGCTGTCCTGAGCGCACACACACACACACAGAGCAGTGTGAGCTCTCACACCAGGGCTGTCCTGGGTGCACACACACACACACTGCAGTGTGAGCTCATACCAGGGCTGTCCTGAGCGCACACACACACACACAGAGCAGTGTGAGCTCACACCAGGGCTGTCCTGAGCGCGCACACACACACACACACACACACACTGCAGTGTGAGCTCACACCAGGGCTGTCCTGAGCGCACACACACACACACACACTGCAGTGTGAGCTCTCACACCAGGGCTGTCCTGGGTGCACACACACACACTGCAGTATGAGCTCACACACCAGGGCTGTTCTGGGTGCACACACACACACACTGCAGTGTGAGCTCACACCAGGGCTGTCCTGAGCGCACACACACACACACACACACACACACTGCAGTGTGAGCTCTCACACCAGGGCTGTCCTGGGTGCACACACACACACACACACTGCAGTGTGAGCTCTCACACCAGGGCTGTCCTGGGTGCACACACACACACACACACAGTGTGTGAGCTCACACCAGGGCTATCCTGGGTGCACACACACACACACTGCAGTGTGAGCTCACACACCAGGGCTGTCCTGGGTGCACACACACACACACACACACACACACACACACACACTGCAGTGTGAGCTCTCACACCAGGGCTGTCCTGGGTGCACACACACACACACTGCAGTGTGAGCTCACACTAGGGCTGTCCTGAGCGCACACACACACACACAGAGCAGTGTGAGCTCTCACACCAGGGCTGTCCTGGGTGCACACACACACACACACTGCAGTGTGAGCTCTCACACCAGGGCTGTCCTGGGTGCACACACACACACACAGAGCAGTGTGAGCTCACACACCAGGGCTATCCTGGGTGCGCACACACACACACACACACACACACAGTGTGTGAGCTCACACCAGGGCTGTCCTGGGTGCACACACACACACACACACACTGCAGTGTGAGCTCTCACACCAGGGCTGTCCTGGGTGCACACACACACACACTGCAGTGTGAGCTCACACACCAGGGCTGTTCTGGGTGCACACACACACACACACACACACACACACACACACAGAGCAGTGTGAGCTCACACACCAGGGCTATCCTGGGTGCACACACACACACACACACACACACACACACAGTGTGTGAGCTCACACCAGGGCTGTCCTGGGTGCACACACACACACACACACACACACTGCAGTGTGAGCTCACACCAGGGCTGTCCTAGGCACACACACAGAGCAGTGTCAGCTCACACTACTGACCACCTGGCCTCAGTCCGATGCCTCTTGTGTCTACATGTGTCCTCACCTGGCAAAGGCCGCCTTCCCCTGCCCCTTTGCTTCGCCTTTCTTTTGAGTTAAGCCGCCAAGGGGACACCCCCCCCCCCAGCCTGGTCACAGTCCACAGCTGGCTCCATCCTAGGCTCCCTGGGGCTCCCAGACTATTAAGGTGGCACGGCTGGTGACATGTCATGAGGGTCCCCAGAGCAGCCGGGATGGGGCGCTGGGCCACAGTAGGTGCATGCGGAAGTGCGCGGGTCTGGAGGGTGAGCCGGGTGGGGCGTGCACACTGGTCTTGGAGGAACTTAGATGGAAAGGCAAGGTAGCGAGAGGCGGGGGTGGGAGGCAGATAATTACGGTCCTTGCGATGAGAGATTGCGCGCCCCACTTCCCCCGGAGGTGATTTATAATTTAAAGATAAAGAATCATCAAGCCATGCCCAAGGAAGGACACAGAGCGGCGGCCTGATTAGAATCTGGGGACGGCCCGGCCCGCGTGCACGGTGGCGCGGGCGGGGGGCGCGGGGAGAGGGAGCGAGTCGCTGCCACCCCAGCCCCTCCTCCGAGCTCAGCTTGCATCCCCACACCCCGGCCCCCCATTACTCCTCCCAACTTTTAATTTCTGCTTCTAAAGGTTCATTGCCCGCGGTAATTGCTGAGGGCCGGGCCGGTGCGCGCCGAACAGGCTCCCGGGACCGCAGCTGGAGGAGGCGTCGCACGACCGCTGGGGCGAACGAGCTGTCCCAGGGGCGCGCCGGGTTGGGCAACCCACCGAGAGAGCAGCGCGGGACCCGCGGCCACGCGCCATGGGACCTCAGGGAGACCTGCTTGGGCCAGCGCAGGGCGTGTGGAAAAACACGCGCCTCCCCGTGACGCTAGGGGCATCGCAAATGCAAGCTTGCCGCCAGTGTTTGGGAAGCGGGAATGGGGGTGGGGGGCATCCCTTCCACCCTCCCGATCCCTCCTCCAAGGAGCGACCTCGCTGAGCACCGCCCCGTCCCCCTCCGTGCGGGGACCCCGGGGCTCGGGTCTAAATTGACGACACGCAAGGGGCGGGCGCGCGGGGACCAAGGTGTGGATTCGCGTACGTCGAGACCACGGTACAGGGCCCTGCCATCGTCCTTGTCCCTGCACATACTCCGAGTTCCCAGGGCGCGGGAGCCATGGGTCCCGCACAGCAAACGCATTAGTTCCTGCCAGCCGCCCCGCGTCCTCCAACCCGAGCCGCGAGGCCCCCTGCGCCGAGGCATCCCACATTTGTTTGGAAGCCGAGTCTCCTCTCAACAGGCCCGCACACCGCTTCCCAACACGGGGAGACGAAGCGGCCAGCCCGCGACACCTGCCAGCCCGCACCAGGGCCTCGGGGCTGTGCGCGCGCGTCCGTCCGTCCGTGTGTCCCGCGCGGGGCCCGCCTCCTCCGCCCGGGATCGTTCGCAGCCAATTAGGCGCGCGCGCTAACGAGGGCGGTGGAGCCCGCGTCCGCCTGCGGGCGCACGTGTGTGCGGCGTGTGGACGCGTGGGCGCCTCCGGCGGGGCGGCCATAAATGCGCGGGCCGGACGCGGCGGGCGCCTGAGGCGGCGGTGGAGACAGCACCGACCGAGCTGCGGCCGGCCGGTGCGGGACTGTGCGGCGCAGCGCGGGCTGCCGGCAATGGGAGCGCAATAGGCGGCGGGGCCCGAGGCACCGCAGCGGCCGGAGCTCGGCATGAGTGCTAGCGGCCCGCCGGCTCCCGGGGACGGCCCCGCACTGCCGCTCCCGCCGCCGCCAGGGCCCGGGCAGGGATCCGCACCGCCGGCTCCCGCCGCCGCCGCCCGGGACGCCATGGACGGGCGTGCCGAGCTGCCCGCCTTTGCCCGGGCCGGAGCCCCGCCGCTCGCGGCCAGCGACACGGTGCCCGCGGCTCCCGAGGGTGCCGGAGCGGCCCGGCCAGCCGCACCCCCGCGCCCCACTTCCTTCTCAGTACTGGACATCCTGGACCCGAACAAGTTCAATAGCAGAAGACGCCGCTGCGTGCTGCTGGGCCCCGCGGCCCCCGCTGCCTGCGCTCCGTGCGCCCCGGCCGCGTGCGCCCCAGTCCCCGCCGCCTCGGGACGCCCTCCTGGCGCAGAGGAGCTGGAGCGCCGCGCCCGAGCCGCCGCCGGGGGAGCCGCCGCAGGAGCCGAGCTGCCGAGTGAGTCGCTGCGTCCGTCGCGCGCGGGACTGGGGTCCGGCCGCGGGCACGCGTCGGCGCTCCGTGACTCCCGCGGCGCCCCGCTGACCCGATCGGCCGCCGGGGCGCGGAGGAAAGTTCGCAGTGCGCGGGAGCCCGCGCCCGGCCCACCCGCGGCCTCCGCGTCATCCGGGCCCCGCGGCCTGTGGGCGAAGGCTCCGCGCCCGGCCGGGCCCAGGGGCCTCGGGGCCGCAAGCCCGGCGCGGCTCGGGCCAGGGAGGGGAGCTGGTGGCGAAGGCGGGGGGCGTGAGCTCTCCGTGTCCCTGCCGCGGCGGCCTGCGCCGCGCGCCCGCTCTTTTTTTTTTTTTTTTTTTTTTTCCGGACAAATCAGACTAATTGTGACAAAACGCTGGTTATCTCTGGAAAAACAATTAAATCCCTTCGATTACAGTTAAGGGGAAATGTGCTTAGCGGCGGAAAGCGGCCGGTAATGGGGCGGCCCGCGCCCCTGGCCGGGTCGATATCCCATTACGGCGCATGCATATCTCTTTCAAGCACCTTGCAAACTGCCCCGAACATCTAAATTATAGGGTCAAAATTCGGATAATTACTCGATTAAAACCTATTACACTTATTAGGGGCCGCTATTGATCGCGAATCGCATTCGACCCGCTCCTGATTGCTTTTTGCGCGTCCATCCCCCCCCCCCAGCTCTTCCTCCCCCTTTCCAACTTGGTGGCTGGGGGTGGGCCGGCGGGAGGAGTGACCCCGCAACCCCACCAGCAGAAGGCCCAGGAGGGAGCAAGCCCGGCCTGGCTCGGCTGTGGCCACCCGCGCAAGCCAGGCCGCTCTGCTCGCTTCCTCGGCCCGGGGTCGCGGCTGCAGAGGGGCGGCGCGGCCCCGCGCAGAGGCCAGAACATCTGCCGGCCTTCGCAGAAGCCGCCCCAGCAGAGCAGGTGCAGTTGGTGCCCTACGCCTGGCACCTGCTGGAAAGCTCCTGGGGAGCCCGCAGCCCATCTGTGGGCAGGGAACCCTGGGCTCCGGCCTGGCCGAGGCGTCAGACTCAAAACTGCTGCTCCAAGAATGCGGGGCTGCGGCTCCGACTCGGCCCTAACGAGAACCCGCCCCGCGCCGGCGGCATGCTCCGGCTGGACCACGAGGCAGCCGAGCCCGGTTCCCCGGAGCCGCCTCTGTCCTCACCCCCAGGCCTCCGCCGGCCCGGCGCTTAAATGCCCGGTAATTGGCTGGCCCGCCGCCCGCTGTAATTGGAGGGTAATCTACGCCGAAATAAATTACGTGGCCTCTAACCGGTTTGTACACTGCGCAGGACGAGTTTAATTAAGTTCGTATCTGCCCCGCACATCGATCTGTGCTCACCCGCGGCCGCCCGGCTCCGCACCCCGCGCAATGGGGTGCTCCGCGCCGAGGAGGCGGCGCCCGGGATTGAGGCCGGAAAACGAAAACACGGAGGGAGAAGAGAGAAGGGGTCGCCGAAGCCGGGCAGACCCGGATAGAGGACCAGGCAGCCCCGAGGGCAGGGGCGCGGGGAGGCTGGCGGGGGAACCGCTCGCGCTGCAGGGCCGCGCCGGGCCTAACCGCGCTGTCCTCTCCGCTCCGCCGCCCGCAGGTGCCGGCGACCCCTGCAAGGCGGACGAGGCCGAGCCCGACGGCTACTGCGGCGGCGGCAGGGGCGCGGACAGCGGGGACGAGGCGCCCGACGGCGAGGACGACGAAGAGGAAGACGAGGAAGACGCGGCGCCCCAGGCGGGCGCGGAGGAGGCGCGGGGCGGCGGCAGCCTCGGGGCCCGCGGGTCGGGCTGTCCGGCCGAGGCGCCCCCCGGCGCCGTGGACGAAGCCGCGGGCCCCGGACCCCGGGGGAGCTCGCCCGGAGCCCCTGGCCCGACGGGGAGCGGGACTGCGGCGGTGGCGGGGAGCGGCGCGCAGGGCGCAGCTGCCGCCAAGCCCAAGCGGAAGCGCACGGGGTCCGACTCCAAGTCCGGGAAGCCGCGGCGGGCGCGCACCGCCTTCACCTACGAGCAGCTCGTGGCGCTGGAGAACAAATTCAAGGCCACGCGCTACCTGTCGGTGTGCGAGCGCCTCAACCTGGCTCTGTCGCTGAGCCTCACCGAGACGCAGGTGAAGATTTGGTTCCAGAACCGCCGGACCAAGTGGAAGAAGCAGAACCCGGGCGCCGACACTAGCGCGCCCACGGGCGGCGGCGGCGGCGGCGCCGGGGGCCCTGGACCCGGCGCGGGGCCCGGCGCGGGGCTGCCTGGTGGCCTCAGCCCACTCAGCCCGTCGCCGCCCATGGGCGCCCCGCTCGCCATGCACGGCCCGACAGGGTACCCGGCGCACGGCCCCGGCGGCCTGGTGTGCGCCGCGCAATTGCCCTTCCTGTCCAGCCCAGCCGTGCTCTCGCCCTTCGTGCTGGGCTCGCAGACGTACGGGGCGCCCGCCTTCTACGCGCCGCACCTCTGAGCCCGCCCCGCCCGGGGCGGAGGATGCGGAGGGACTGAGCGCCATGGCGGGACCAGACCGCGCGCGGGCGGCGCCGGCGCCCCTTGCCCGATTTGGTTCCATCAATAAACGCAGGAGACCGCGCCCCGCGTCTCCCAGGTTCCCGCGCCGCCGTGGGTCCCGGGCGGGAAGGAACTCGGGGACGCGGGGCCGGGCCACTCCTCCTATCTCACTGCAGCCCGCGAGGGCCGGCCAGGCGTGGGGCGCGGCGCCCTCGGCCCCTCTTCCTTGCTCTGGTGCCCGCCGCCCTGTTGGAGCTGCCAGAGCCAGATTCGGCCTGGTGGGGTGCTGGCGTTGGCACGGCTTCGCTAAGCACGGGGACCTGGGGCGCCGCGAATCTGACAGCGGCGCCCGGACGCGGCTGCCCCGCCGCCAGGCACAGACATGCGGAGTCGTGGGTGTGTCTCCCCTCCCCGCAGGACCCCGAGCCCAGCAGCCTGGTGCCAGGCGCAGCGGGACCCGCCCCGTGCGGCCTGGGGCACACCACCCCTCCGTAGCGCCCAGGGGCCGAGCCTTGTGCGTTCCTGTCGCTGAGGAACGCAGCCTCCTGCTCACCGAGCCCAGCCGCTGGCCTCTTGCAGCGGGCAGCGGCGCAAAGCCACGGAGGCGGCGGGAGACACACCTGGTTTGCCTGTTGGGGAGCCCCGGAAGCAGGTTTTGCGGGTGGAAGCCTCGGCGCCAGGGCTCGCTCTTGGGGAGCGTCCGCTGCGGGAAGAGCCCCTGCGCCCACGTGGCCGGGCTCAGCTGGAATCTGCCGAAGCCAGCCAGAGTGTAGCCCACCGGGGCCCTGATGCCATTCGGGGGTCTCTCTGCAGGTGGGCTGGACACTCCGCGGCTGGGCTGCACACAACAGTCCCGCCTGGCGGGCCCTGGCCTCCTTCTCCTCTCACTGGCCAGACAGAGTTACAAGCAGGGGCCCTGGGGGGATGTGTTGGAACTGGACATCCCCCCAGGACACAACATTGCCCCCAGGACTGCTGGGGGAGCGTTGCTTTCCACCCCTCTGGGTGTCCCCTGCCTCCTGCACCCCCACAGTTCCTGGAGTACAGCCCCTGTGCTCCACAGTGCCTGGGCACAGCAGGGGCTGGCCGCCCCATTCTGGTCATAGCTTCACTGTCGCCCGCTGCTCTGGAGCATTTAGGGGTGCAGGTTCTGCTGCTCCCCCTCCCCTGCATTTCAGCTGCAGGCAAAGCTGGGCTGATTTGGTCCCCTTCCGCCTTAGTGTCTCCCCTGGGGGGCCTCTTGGGAGCTGGGGGAGAGGAGTGGGTGTGGCTAGGGATGGGCACCAGCTGCCTGCTGTCTGGCAGGTGGGTGCCTCACTGCCCCCTGCTGCTGCTGCCCCCGGCTGGGAAGCCAGACTCCAACCGCCACTTTGCTATGCGGGGAGGCGCAGAACCCACCTACTTTTGGGAGCCCTCGCCTATTCTATGCCCGCGTGTGGGTTCAACCCTGCAGCCCCATCTCCTGCTGGTACCCCAACTCCTCCCCACCCCTCTCCAGTCCCTGCAGGAGACATTGCTGAGCCTCCACGGTGGGTATCCGCATCCCATGGACACCTGCAGCCCCACGAGTGCCCAGTCCCCAGTTCCTTCCCCAGGTCCCTTGGATACGGCTACCCGAGGAGCCCAGTGCTGCTGGTGGCCACCGCCACCCTGTCCCCCATGTCCTCTGAGCTCCAAGTCACCAGGGGTCAGGTGCAGGAAGCCCAGGGAGAGGGGCTTCTCCCTTTTATGGGCTGCTGCTGCCTGCAGCCTTGGAGACTGCCGCCTGGAGCCGAATGTGGAGTCACTGGAAGAGACAAATCCGGTGTGTGCTTGCCAGCCAGGGCCTGTGGCACTAACTTCATTTCTGCTAGGGTGCCCCCAGGGCCCTGAGGCCTTGCCAAACACCTGCAGGGACCAATGGCCTCAAGTCTGCCACTGATCCTGCCAGTCCATATGGCACTGTCCCGCTGCCCACCTGGGTCCAGGCCACACGGAGCCAGGCACTGGGACGGTTTCCCACCTCATCAGGGGCCCAGCTCCTGGCCACATCAGCCTGGGGCAACTGGTCCCCATCAGCCATCCCCCTATCTGGGGTGAAATAAACCAGTGTTCAGGAGCCAAGGCCACAGCTGCACCAGAGGCCACGGCTAAGGGTGCCCAGCACACGCTGTCCCTGTGTGGGACACCTGGTGGGGACACAGCAGGCCCCGAGGCTCATTCAACAGGAATCCTCCTGGGACTTTATTTTCATTTTATTTGAAGATGGAGAGACACAGACCCCTACCTCCTTCCACCAAGGTCACTCCCAGACACTCTCAGCTCCCCCGATCCCCGGGATTGGGACAGGCTGAGGCCAGGAGCTGGGAGCTCCACCAGGGTCTCCCACGTGGAATCAGATTCCGGGTGCGGGCGATCACCTTGCAGGTAACCAGGCCTGGTAACAGAATGCGGAGGGGCTGCTACACACACATGTGAAACTGGTGCCCGCGGGGGTGTCTGCCAGCCTTGGGAACCCGACCAGGGAGATCCATTCCAAGGACGCCCCCAGCCCCGCCCTCTCAGGCTGGCACTTGTGCCCAGCACATGGAAGGATCACGATGACCCGAGCCGCATAGGAACCCTGGGGCAGGGACTTCGGCAGTGGGCGTCCCCGTGTCTGGGACCCCGGGGTGAAGGGCATCCCTGCTGTGCTGGACCCCGGGCAGGGTTGGGGGGAGAGGTCCCGCTGAGTTTACCCCAGGGCGCGGGGGGAGGGGGGCGGCGGTCGAGTTTCTTTTTGCGGGCCGCAGCCCCACACATGCGCAGAGCCGCGCGCTCCAGGAGCCAGCAGCCAGGTGGAGGAACTTGGCGCTCAGACTGGCTGACCGCCTGGCCAGGCCAGACGCCCAGCAGGGCACATGTCCTCTCAGGCGACAGGGCTGAACAGGGGAGGCTGGCCCAGGGAGGGCTCCCGTCGCCCCTACATGGCCTGCCATGTCCCTGAAAATGTCCAGTCCCCACAAACACGGCACATTTGGGGAACATGCGCAGGACACGCGTAACAGGGTCCCCCGCCCTCTACCGCCACCTGGGAGGTACAGGAGAGAAGGTGAGGGGAGATATCAGGGGTGCACACATCCGATAACCACCCCTCCTCCAAGCATGGAAAGCAGTCTCCCACCAGGGCGAGGAGACCCTAGGCAGGGAGCCCCCACCTAGGCAATGCTGCCTGCAGCCCACGCAGGCGCAAGGAGCTCTGGGTGCAGGGCTGGCCCTGGAAGTCATGTCTTAGGCACCGCCCAGAATCCTAACGACGCTGTGCCAAGTGGCCATCATGGTACTGGTGAATGGGCTCGACTGGTGTGGGGGTCAGCTCACTCTCCAAATGGCTGCAGCAGCCAGGGCCAGGCCAGGCTGAAGTTGCGAGCCAGGAGATTCTTCCCGGTCTCCTGTGGGTGCCGTGCCCGGGCCCCAGGCTGTCCACTGCTCTCCCAGGTGTGTCATGGATAGCTGGGTTGGAAGTGGAGCTGCTGGGCCATGCAGGAGTGGCTAACCCTGCTGCCCCCGAAGCCAGTGAGACAGGACACTCACTGGAGGCAAAGCAGGAAACTCGGTAGAAAACCTCCAAGGAAAAAGAGACATGTGGCCCACAGTGTGGGGCGATAAGCCTCAACAACCCCAGAATCTCCCCAAATTTGTGCCATACCCACAGGTCAGAACCTGTCTACAGACGGGTTGAACTCAAAGCACGGTTTTGGTCTACAGTAAGCTAAGAAACCACTAAAGGTGGTTTGGGAAATCCGCAAGTATGTGGAAATTAAACCACAAGCCCCTACATAATCGGTGAGTTAAAGTTATCAGCAGAGAAGCTAGAAGACGCTCGGATATGCAGGGTAACAAACAAGCATCCGAATCCAGCAAAGTCCTGGCTTGCCTGGTGCTGAGATTCCCCACCACTCACCGTCCACGGGTTCTTCTCAACTGCAGGGGAGAGGATCCCGACTCCACCGACCCTCAGCACGAAGAGAGCCCTGTGGAGAGCAGAGCCGAGCGTCACACGGCGCGGACCCAGCACAGAGAGGGCCCCGTGGAGAGCAGAGCCGAGCGTCACACGGCGCGGACCCAGCACAGAGAGGGCCCCGTGGAGAGCAGAGCCGAGCGTCACGCGGCGCGCACCCAGCACGGAGAGGGCCCCGTGGAGAGCAGAGCCGAGCGTCACGCGGCGCGCACCCAGCACGGAGAGGGCCCCGTGGAGAGCAGAGCCGAGCGTCACGCGGCGCGCACCCAGCACGGAGAGGGCCCCGTGGAGAGCAGAGCCGAGCGTCACGCGGCGCGCACCCAGCACGGAGAGGGCCCGTGGAGAGCAGAGCCGAGCGTCACGCGGCGCGCACCCAGCACGGAGAGGGCCCCGTGGAGAGCAGAGCCGAGCGTCACGCGGCGCGCACCCAGCACGGAGAGGGCCCCGTGGTGAGCAGAGCCGAGCGTCACGCGGCGCGCACCCAGCACGGAGAGGGCCCCGTGGTGAGCAGAGCCGAGCGTCACGCGGCGCGCACCCAGCACGGAGAGGGCCCCGTGGTGAGCAGAGCCGAGTGTCACGCGGCGCGCACCCAGCACGGAGAGGGCCCGTGGAGAGCAGAGCACCACATGCACTCAGCCACAGGGGTAGAGGGGTCTCGGGCACCCTGGAGGGGGAGGGTATTCAGGGTTGGCCAGGCTGGCCAATAAGGGCTGAGGGCAGTGATAGGAATCCGGGCAGGATACAAACAGAGGCATGGCCGCATCATACACATGTGCTACGTGTGTGGACCCACTTGGTCCAGGGCAGGTGAGGGCACGAGGCCAGCTGTCCAGCTGTGGGCAGGTTGGGGACAGTGTCAAGAGCCTGGGGCCGAGACCAGTGTGGGCATCTCCGCCCAGGCCCACCTAAGCACGTGGAGGAGACCAAAGCTACCACCCCAGTGGTCAGTGAGGCAGTCACCGAATGGACTGCCCAAGGCA